ACTTGAGTGGAGGCCCAATGTCCGTCTGCTACCTTAATACTTAACATATAAATATATGCACATAGATCTATTTCCCTCTTGTTACATAAAAATATGTTTACATGTGTATGTGCCTATGTTTATACCTCTGTAAATGTCCTTGGCCTCATAGTTCTTTCCTCTACTTCCTTTTACTTTCTTCTTATCCCACTATCAAGTTTGGCTTCACTCAGGGGTCAGTAATTCCTCTTGGTTACATTGTCCTTGATCAATTCCTACCAGGCATCCTACTTCCTCCTGGCCATTGATTTTAGATCACTTGTTGTTCCCTTGTCCCTGGGTTTGTTAACACTCACTTCCTTTCCCCTGCCTTCCCCTCTCCCATGTCCCCCTGGAACCATAGGTCCCATTGTTTACTCCTCTGGTTTGTTTATCCCGCCTATCTTATCAAAAGGTAGACATGCAGAGACAATAATAAGCACAAAAACAAGGAGGAGCAAAACACAACAAAACAACCAGGACAAAAAAAAGCGCCTATAAATAGCTCAAGGTCTGTTTGTTGACCTTTAGGAGTGTTTTCCTGTCGAGTCTGATGGCCCCACAGTCTAGTTTTGGGGTTCCCCGGGGACTTCATTGTTTGTTCCCCTTGCTGCTCTGTTGCATGCTCTTAGCGTTTCACCCCGGTGTGGTGGGGTCCCTTTGTCGTCTTAGCCTTAGAGTTGGACTTGCATCTAGTCATACAACCTCACGAGAAGTTGTACAACTCCGTGAGCAGTAACGGCATCAGCTGGCATGCTTTCCCAGGTCCTCTCGCATGCCCAAGCCTAGTTCTCACAAAGGGCAAGCAGCCGAGTGTTGCCAGACCCGGTGGGCCGGTGGGCCGCCGTCTCCCTCCTGCATAACTTGTCTGAGAATAATGGCTTTCTTGGAATACAGGTCACTCATTTCTGGTGTCCAACTCCGGGCTTTGGGTTGCTTCACAGAGTGGGGCAAGCACATTGCTACAGGCAGTTTTAGAACATTTCTGTCACCCGCAAAGTAGCCCATCTGTCCCCATGTCCCTCCCTGGCCCCCGCCCCGGCCTCCTTGACAACCAGGAACCTAGTTGCCGGAGCTGCCTGTTTGGATGTAGTCAGTGTCTTGTAGAACGTGGCCTGTTTTCACTGGCGGCTTCCACTGGGCATAGTGTCCCCGAGGCCGCAGGTCGCCACATGGGGGCAGCTCACCCCCGCCCGCCCCGTGGTGCAGGGACTTCGGCTGTGGGGGTGCTGCGGTGAGCATTCACGCACAGGTTCCTGGGTGGGCTCCCGTCTCGTTTCTCTTGGGTAGGACCCCTAGTGGAATTGCTCCGTCGCTCTGTTTGAAGATTCTCTTCGAAAGTGACGGCACGGCTTGTGCTCCTCCTGCCCACAGACGTGACTCTCCCCGTGGGGGCAGTCCCACTCTGTACGCGGGCTTCAGGAGTCAGCATTGGCTCCCTGGGATGTCTGTTTTCTTCTGGGATGAGGGCCCGAGCTGGCAGGTCTCCAGGGAGATTGGACCAGGCTGTAAATCGCCCCTGAAGGGAAGGGCAGCACCAGTCCCCTTGTGGCCGGCACTGTAGACCGTGTGCAGGACGATGGAGAATGCGTCTGGCTCTGGTGTGGAGCCTGCTGTCTGCTCCGGCCGTGGGGCCCTGCCTTCTGACTCTCTGGAAAAACTCTGCCCCAGGCTGGGCAGTGGACTTCGGGATGTCCAGGGCTGTGTGCCTTTGGTAGGAGGTCACAGAGCCCTGCTTGGAAATTAAAGTTGGGGGGTACCCGTCTCTCAGGTGTCCTGCCTGCACACCCTGGGCTACCCCCCAGCCCAAGGGCAGGGGCTACACGTGACCAGCATCTCCTGGAACTCCACCGGCTCTGTGGTGGCCTGCGCCTATGGTCGGTGAGTAGCCGCGGGGCAGGGAGTGCGGCAGCGGGAGCCTCTGAGACCGTGCACCCTATTTGGCCTGTCTGCCCAGGAAAGGGCTGGCCCAGAGGCCTTGGCCATTTCCGCAGGCGCCTCTTCTCCGGGGGGTATGGGTGGGGCTGAGTGCAGCCACGGGGCCTTACCTTCCCGTCCCCCTGGGCAGCTCCTGCCTACTCCTTAATGCAGGAGTCCCTGCCCCACCCTCGGCGGTGGGTGGAGAGTGGCAGATATGCCCTTGGGGTGCCATGGAAGAGCCTGCGCCCCTTTGACCCCGAGTCGAGTCTGGGAGTGAGGGGGCCCAGGCTACTCTGTCAGAGGGTCGCGCCAGCTGAGTGGGTCTCTGTACAGACTGGACGATGGGGACTGGAGCACGCTGAAGTCCTTTGTGTGCACCTGGAGCCTGGCCCGCCGGAGCCTAAACCCCCAGCAGCCAGCCGCTGTCGTCGAGGTGCCCAGTGCTGTCATGTGTGTGGCCTTCCACCCCTCGCAGCCGGCCCTCATCGCAGGTGAGCTGCCCAGACCCTCAGCGGGGAGGCAGAGGGAACCCGCTGTCCCGTCCTGGCACCTGGACAGGCCAGGACCAAAGGCTGGAGGAAGTCGGGAGTCCTTGCGGGTGGTGCGTGGTGGGCTCCGGCTCCTTTGGGAAAGGGGCCCCAGGCTCTTGGAGGGATGGCGGAGGAGGGCGGAGCAGGGGGATCTGGCTGCAGGATGGAGGGTAGTCTGGCGGGGGGAAAGGTTTCAGAGGGGGTGGACCAAGGAGGCTGGGCCCGAGGCCTGGACTTTTTCCCTCGGGGTCAGCTGTTGGGGAATTGGCTGCAGGCCTTGCCTCAGCGGGCGGGCGGGCGGCAGGGGCAGGCAAGGCGGCAGTGCACGGGGGTGTGGGACTGTGCTTGGTCGCCACAGGTGGGCTGTACAGCGGCGAGGTGCTGGTGTGGGACCTGAGCCGGCCCGAGGATTCGCTGCTGTGGCGCACAGGCCTGACGGACGACACGCACGTGGACCCTGTGTACCAGGTCAGAGTGGCTGCGGGTCTGCTGGGCCCTCCATGCAGAGCAGGAGGGCAGGCACTACCAGGCATAGCTGGTGCTCCTAGGAGACCACCCGGGAGCTGCAGCTAGACAGCTGCCTTTGGCATTCTGCAAGCCACCTCCCCACCCACAGTGATAGGTGCCAGCCCATGGCCTGGCGGCCCTCCTAGGCCCTGCTCAGGAGCCCCAGGGAGTGACTGCCATAGCCCGTGCTGGGATTCTCAAGTCCCATGTTGGCCCCCGGGAGGTGAGGCTGGGTACCTGGCCTCCGGGGCTTGCTAGGCTGTGGTGTAGGAGGGATGGGACTGGTGCCCCTTCCCTGATCATGTCCTGCAACCCTGTCGTCCCAGGTGGACTGGCTCCCTGGGCCTCAGCACAGCCACCGCTTCCAGCTGCTGAGCGCGTCCACCGACGGGAAGGTGCTGCTCTGGCGGGGGACGGGTGCGGGGCTGCTGCAGCTCGCAGAGGGCTTCGCACTGGCTGCGCAGCAGCTACCACGCAACACCAAGCTCAAGAAGGTGCGGGGAGCCGTGGGGCAGGAGGCTGCCACATGCCAGCCAAGACTGACTCTGACCCAGCCCCGCTCCTCCACAGCCTACCCGGGGCGAGACCGAGGTGGGCATCACGGCCTTGGCCTTCTCCAACTTTGACCCCTGCCTGTTTGTCCTGGGCACGGAGGGCGGCTTCCCGCTCAAGTGTTCCCTGGCCGCAGAGGAGGCGGCCCTCACGAGAAGGCCCGGCTCTGTGCCACTGCGGGCCCCGGCACAGTTCACCTTCTCCCCCCACGGTGGGCCAGTCTACTCTGTCAGCTGCTCCCCCTTCCACAGGTGAGCCATCTCCCAGGCCTCCCTGACTTCGGAGCCTTGGGGGGAGTGGCTCCAGGGAATCTTGCACTCTCCGGAGGAGGGAGAGGCCCCCCTCAGGCTTGGGGGCCAGGGTGGCTTCCCAGAGCTGGCACAGCCTCACTCTCTGCCCTGCGTCTCTCGCAGGAACCTCTTCTTGAGTGCCAGCACAGATGGCCACGTCCACCTGTACTCCATGCTGCAGGCCCAGCCCCTGACCTCGCTGCAGCTCTCCCAAAAGTACCTGTTTGCCGTCCGCTGGTCTCCCGTGCGGCCCTTGGTGTTTGCAGCTGCTTCTGGGGAAGGTAGGGAACGGGACACCTGGTGTGGGGAGGCTTCCCTGGGAGGAGACCTGCGCTGTACTGAGGGCCCCGAGGGTTCCTTATCAGTCGCAGGTGTGCGTAGTTTTCAAGGCCCCGCTGCCCTCTCATCCCACGGCTCTTCCCGAAGGTGATGTGCAGCTCTTTGACCTCCATAGAAGTCCCCAGAAACCCACCGTTTCGATCAAGCAAACCCTGGATGAAAGCCCCGTGTACTGTCTGGAATTCAACAGCCAACAGACTCAGCTTCTGGCTGCCGGGGACGCCAAGGGCAACGTGAAGATCTGGCAGCTGAGCTCAGAGTTCACCAGCCAAGGGCCCCGAGAAACTGAGGACTTGGAACAGCTGCTAACTGAGGGGGCCACCTGAGGGGCCCCGAAGTCCATAGGCAAGTGGTGTGAGGCTGTACGGGTGTGGCGTCAATGAAGAAGCAAAGCTTTCAGGGGGAGTGTCGAAGAGTCCTTTATTTGGGGTTTACATGAAAACAAGATGGGGGTGGGAGGGAGACGAGGAGGGAGATCCTAGCTGCCCAGCTGCTGCGGTGGTTCTGAAGCTGGAATGAGGGCAGCTGGTTTCAGGGCGATTGTGATTGGACTGGAAGCGTTTTATCGAAGCACCATTGACTAAGCAGGCTGAAGAGGACAGTGGAAGGTAACGCTGTCTGGAGTAGTTTCTTCTAAGAGCACAGAACTGAACTGACATGCAGCAGGGCGACAACAAGCAGTGTGGGGCTGGCCAGGCGCTGAGGCTCAATTCACAAAGAGCGAGCGGGTGAACTCGATGTAGTCGAAGGCCGTGGGGAGCTCGCGGCCCTTGCCATCCACGTAGGGCTTCATGTGGGAGACGCAGTAGTCGGCTTGTTCCC